TGTCTCGGCCATAGGGGAGGCCCCTGTGCCTGCCCAAGGGAGCTCCAGCAGGGGGGCGGGGGGCACAGGCCTATTGATCCTCAGGTACGGGGATGCCCCTGGCAGATCCCACCTTCTATCTCTGGGCCTTGGTGTCCCTGCCCAGCCCCAGGTCAGGCTTTGAAGGCAACGAGTGCCTGCCCTTCCTTCCGTCCAAGCCCAGGCTCCTCAGGGGGTCCAGCTGGGCTTGCTCTTGCTCCTGATTTCTGGTCTCAGACAGCCCCTCCGCCCCTCTGCTGGCTTTGTTCCCGTCCAGGATGCACCTGGTGGCCTCTGGACCCCAATTGTTTGCACTGGGGCCAGCTGGGCCACATTAGGGGGAAAGCAATTCCAGACCCAAGACAAAGCACCCGGTGGGTGCTGGGGCCAGCGTCCCTACAAACCATCCAGGCTACCCTGAGGTACTCACCAACTTCTCCTTCAAGTAGGAGGGGCACTGCATACTTCCTGGGACTCTGGAATTGAGGAAGTGGGAGACCTCACAGGGCTTCTGTCTATGCTTAGACTAAAGCAGGCTCCAAGCCAACGGAATCATGCCAGAGGAAGCTCCCCAAACCATCTGTAGGCCTGGGAGCCGCAAGAGCAGTGCCCTGATCCTCCAGCCCCGTCCCCAGAAAGATGCTCCAGCCCACATCGGCTTCTATGTGTCAGATAGTAACCCCACTAGGAGCTCTGTGCCTCTGAGCTGATCAGGGCTCATCCATGCAGATGTGGGAACTAAGGTCCCGATAGGACTGGGACCTCATCCTGGGCTACAGGGTGGACAGGGACCATGTGCATGCCGGAGCTTGTCGCTCACTACCCTAACAATGGCTCTAAGCCAGGAGCCCAGGCACTGGCATGCAGCAGTTCCCAGAACATCAAATCGGCTGCCTTCTCCCCACACTCCCTGCACCCCTATCCCCATGCCCTGCTAGGAACTTCCCTACTCCACTTCAAGAAGAGCAGGGTGTTTGGTAGTAGGGATCAGGAGGGGCCTCTTTGTGGGGGGTCATCATATTGCAGAGGTGGGAAGAACCCTGGCCTGTCACCAAGTTGGTGCCAGACCTGGGGGTGGAGGGAACCCAGGTATCCCAACTCCCACTTGGTGCAACCTGCTTCCTGCCCACTGGGTCCCGGTGACATGCCTGTCTTGTGCTCTTCCCCAGCCCTCCGCCTAGGACTGTGATCCATTTCTAAGAACCCTGGACTCACATACACTCCATAATGAAGATCCTCCAGGGACTCTCGTGGTCTTTCCATGCTCTGGGTCTGGCTCGGATCTGGTGGCAGAGATGGCAGGCTGTGCCCAGTCACTCTCTGCCCCTCTGACCCGCCCTCACAGGCTCCCAGCTCCCAGCCCTACCTCCACACTCAGCCTGCTCTCCCACAGTATGAGCCAGGCCCAGGGATTACAAAGCCATCCTCCCAGGCCCCCACCCTGCCTCCTGCACAGATGCACTAGCTGTAGCCCAGCAAAGCCCTGCCCTGGTAGGCTCAGAGCTCTTGCTTTCCTAACAGCCTTGGCCCTGACTATAGTCCACTCCTCATCAGACTGGTGCAGAGCCCAAGATCCCTTCTATCTGCCCTGCCTTCCATTTAAAGGACAACCTAAAACAGAACTCAGGTCAAACCAAGGGTGTTGGGAAGTGCCATTTAAGAATAGGGCCAAAGAGTTGGCCACTGTGTCACCAGGGCATGGCTGCTTAAGGCCTAGGACCCCAGCCCTGTGAGGCTATGGACAGAAGGGTGTGAGATCCTTTCTGGATCTCTCCTTCTTGAGGAATTTGTTTTCTTGCTTCCACCCATTGAAGTCAACTCCTGCCCCCCGAGGTTCTAGAACCTTCCCTAAGTCAAGGTGGTAACAGTTCCCTCCCCAGACATGCTGTCCTGGGACAGGAAGCACAAGCACCAAGTCTAGGAAAGCGGCACCCCTGGGCCCCACCATGTTATGAGCAGTTTAGGAAGTCGGGCTACAAAAGGATTCCCTGTGGTGGGCCTCCATCTTCTCTGGAGGTAGCTAGCATGACAGGCAGGCAGGAGGGATGTTTTGGGGAGGGCAGATTCCATAACTGAGGGGCAGCAGCTAGGACAGCCCATTCTGACCCTCTAGCCCAGGGGTCCTGAGGGAGGGTGTGGACTGGTGTCCACTGCACACAGACCCCAGCATGCTGGTCTCAGCAGCCTCTTCTTGTTCCCAGCAGAATGACCTCCTTACACTTCAGCGAAGGGCAGGAGATCCATGTCTGAGCGAGCACCCCAGGTTCCACAGCTGGCGAGTGGGGAGAAGTTGGAGACACGCCCAGTCTCAGGGTAGTCTTTCTCCTGCCCAGTCCTGTACTCCAAGGACTTGGGTGTGCTCCGGAAGCCGGGTCACGGTGGGTGCCCACGGTTGTCAGCACTCACATGCCACATCTCAACTCAGGCCATGGGCTCTGGAGCTTCCCAGGTGTGAGCTCAGTTACTGGGCAGAGGCCATCCCTGAGAGGGAGTCTCAGGCCCAGGAAAGGCCCCCAAGGTCACTTAGTACGTAACGGGGTGGCCTCATAGTCCTTTCCACATGAGACACGTAGCATGGGCAATATGACAAACCCGTGTTATCCTGGGCTATGCCCCATAGATTCATAATCATTCCACACAAGATGCACATGGAAAAAAGGCCTGACTGGTTTGCTTGCTCTGAGTGGTATAATTACTGATTTTTTTTCCTCTATAATTTTATATATTCTGGAAATGATCTCCAAGAAGATGCACTGCTAGGGAGAAAAAAAAACAAAGGCCCTCAAGGCAAACCCCCCCGCCCCAACCACTCTGTTCCCCACAACAGCATGTCTTGGCTACCGTTGGGAATGCCAGGCCTTCCGTTCTTGTAGGGTAACCTTGGCAGGGCTTCTGGGGTCTCAGTCCTGGGCATCTGGCCTGTAGTTCTGCTTTGCAGGCCACGGTGGGACCTGGAAGACACCAGCACTCCCACTCACTCCCTCAGGTCCCTCAACCACAACACTTCCCAGCCTGTGAGCTGCAGGGGAGGGCCAGCCAGAGGGGATGGAGCCTGGGCCCAGGTGCCCTCCTGTTGCCACAGTCAGTCGCAGGGGGTGGCCAGGGTCCTGTTCACACCATGTCAGAGGAGCAGCTAGAAGTGTGGAGTTAGAAAAGTCCGAGCCTGATGTGTTTCAGTAATTTTAATACATTCAATAATATTTAATAGAACAAAATAAAAAAGTACTGTCAGTCAGCAGAAGCCTGTGGTTGAGAGATACAGAAATGGAACTGGCCCTTTTGCAGTAAAGCTTGTGCTTAAAGGGAAAAGAGACAAAATGACTTCCTGGGGGCTTCATGTCAAGTGCCACTGGACTAAAAGCACCTCAGAGTAGCACTTTTAGGTATATATGACCATTTAGAATTATCCCATAAAGCCAACAGTGTTAAAAGGATCCTATTAGAAAAAGAAAAGTCATGCTTCTAGAATTTTCTCGTCTGCAGAGCCACACGCAAATGTAGGTGGCCTGGATGGGTACCCTGGCACAGCCTCTTGTCAGGGAGGCAGAGATGGGCCCTTAAACAGGCTGGGCCTGGTCTGCACTTCCTGCGGCCACCCTCTCCCTGTCACCGACCCCAATGGCAGCCTTGGGGGCATAGCCCCAGGTCCCCCAGCATGAGCTGCCAGGGCTGGGTCACTTGGCTAGGAAGGAACAGATGTGTGAACTGCAGACCCAGGAAAGTCTTCTCCTTCATAGGACAAAAAAGCACCCCCCAACAATAATAAATAAACAAAAACATGTCAGACACACTAGGTCCAGACAGGAGCACAGGCTTCCACGAAGGCAAATGAGAGCAAAAGTGGGACTTGGGAAGACCGAGTGGAGAGACATTTAAAAAACAATAATTCTTATCTAACAGTCCCTCATCTGACAGCAGAGAGCAACTGTCAACAGAGCAAGAGAAGCCAGAATGGAACCTGATCAAGTAGGATGGGGACAGGTATCCGCCAGGGTCTTCTGGTATACTCTGGGGCTGGGTTCTGCTCACTGAGCCTCTCCTTCCTTAACTGAAAATAGGCATTTCACAAAAAGCCTCTAGTCAGGATAGCAGCCAGAGCTGCCAGGTTGGGACATCTGGGCAGGGTTGATGGGCACTTACCAGCCAGCTGGTGACTGTGGGCCAGCAGGCCATACATAAACACACACACACACACACACACACACACACACAACCCATTTCACAATAACCACATTCCTTCCTAGGCTATAGACACCTCAAACTCCTAGTCTAGAACATGATGCTCGAACACAGAACCCTCAGGCCCACATGCTGGCTGGGCAGCCTTCTTCACATCCTATGGCTGGGGCAGCGATGGTGCTTCCACCAGTGGCAACTCTTCCTCGTGCTACTTTGTAGGTGCCAAACACAGTTGTATTCTAGAAGCAACAGGTCTCGATGCTGTTCAAACCAACAGCTACTGTGTTAGGCGCACATGAGATGTGGGATCCCTGTTCCCAAGAAGGGCTGAGTCCCAGCCTGAGAGTCACCTCAACAGAAACCCTCATAATAAGGCTTCGGTTCCACACACAGAAGGGGTGCAAGTGTGGCTGCCTGTCACTTGGAACCTGGAGGGTGGCATGGCAAGGGACCAACTCCATCACGGGGCTGCAGGCCACCAGCCACCAGCCCTGATGCTATCTGTTGTGGCTGTGGTCATGGTGGCCTCCAAGACCCTCTATCTGGTGTACCCGTGCAAGGAGACTTAAGGCACTTCCTTAAATTCTTGCCCAGGAGGATTTTATCTGAGTGACTCAGTGACTTTAAATTACCCTGCAGGGCTCTCTCCAAGTGTTTGGCTTTTTCTCCTGCTTCTTCTGACTTCATTTCTGGCTTTCACCATGCTAATGTCCAGATTTCATGTTTTATATCTATCTTTACTAAAACAACTTAACTTTGGTACTAAGAGATCAGGACCTATTTTCCCCCAATATTGCTAAGAAAAAAAAATTTTTTTAAACCAGAACTCCTTTTAACCAATTCTTTTGTCCAGAAACCTAAAGTCAGACCTGGGTTTCCAAGCCCCTTCCAAGCTGAAGGACAGGTTGGCAGCGCCGAGGACAGGGGCCACCTCCACTTGAAGGGCGCCCAGCTGCAAAACCAGCCCTTCAGCAGTGATGGGCGCCACCAGCTGGGAACTCGAGTCACAATTCACTGTTAGCTCAAGCTGCAGACACCTAAACCACGCAGGCCACACCAGCCCCGCCACACGGAAGCGGTGGCTGCCCTGTGGCCATGGTGATGTACTCCATGGCCCTCCACGTCCAGGGCTGCAGCCTGTTCCCCAGGCACCTCTGCCGGGCGCCGAGTCCCCTGCCTGGTTCTCATGGGTGACAGAAGCCGCACTGGCGAGCAGTTGAGAAGAGCTGTGGCGAAAGCTTTCACTAATCCCCGTGAGCTGCCCACTGAGTTTCACCCACTTTCCCAGGTTTAGCTGTGCAGGAGCTGGTCTGCACACTCCATAGCACTAATGCAGTTCAATATTCTCTTCAGAAAAAAACTGGCAGCAAACAGCGTGTGTGACATGCGTGGAGCCCAGGCCAACCTTGGGCCGGACAGGTCATGTGTGCGGAGCCGGCTGCGAGCCGGGGGCCATAGAGGCCTGAGTTCTCCTGACTCAGAGGCCCCGGCTGAAGGCTCACACGCTGCAGGGCAGCTCAGAGAGTCACTGAAAGCTTTACGGGGTGCGTAGCTAATGGCACTGGTGTCACTTGGTAACGGGGAGAGTCCTTCAGAGGTGCTCAGGTTTCGAAGTACTTGTAGATTGCTGTCACGTAGAGCATCACGCTCTGCCAATCGGGCCGCTCAGTCCGCACCATTTCATTAATGTCCTAGTGGAGAAGGAAGAAACCTCGTTAGAATCCCGGTCACTTCTGGGCCCGTTCCGACAGACTCCCTGGCAGCTACACGGGTTGTTGCACAGGGCAGGGCCTCTGACTTTGGGCCAAGCCAGATCACACCTCCCAAAGGCCTTGGCAAAATGCCTGCTCTCTTGCTGACAAGTGTGCCTGGAAGCTTCAGCGTGATCCCTGAGCTGCCTCTCTGTGCCCAAGCCCTGCGCCAGAGCCCCACACAGGAGAGCCCCGGCTCATGGCCAAGGCCCTCCGAGGCTCGTTATCATCTTCTCTGGGGCCTTCAACCCTGTCTGCCTCCTTTCTTAAACTCCTCCAGGTGGTCGCTTCTGAGTGCCTTTCTCAACCCAGTCTCTGTCCCAGGAGAGTCTCTGTGCAGCCAGGGCTCCCAGAACTCAACTTTCCCATGCCCTTCACCATGGCAACCATCTGAAATAATCAAAAACACTGTTTTCTGATTGTATTCTGCAGAATGCCAGTCGTGTGAGATACCAGCTGATGAAAACGAACGTGGGAAAAGTCAGGACTCGGATATAGAATTGGGAGGCCCCCAAAAGAGACCCACTGTTGCTGAAGAACATCCCCTTGACTTTCCAGGGGAGCCTCGCTCCCAAGCACTGCTCTGGGAGGTTCTGGGGTGAGGCCATGGACAGCGGGTTGGAATGGGCCACCCAATTATGACTTGGTATAGAAAAAGAAAAACATGTTTGTTCAATATAAAGATTTTTTGGGGTCAGGGGGGATGGCCCACTTTAATATGTTGGAACTTCCCAGGTGATGTAAAATACCCACGTAACAGAAAACATTTCAATAATGATAACTGTTCTTTCTCTGTACAACTGAATAGAGACCACCCTAAACAAGCCTATTTCTTCAAGTCAGAAGATAGACTTCTGGGGCTCTCTGCCCGGCAGGGAGCCTACTTCCTCCTCTCTCTCTGCGTGCCTTTCTGCCTGCTTGTGATCTCTCTCTGTCTGTCAAATAAATAAATAAAATCTTTAAAAAAAAAAAAAAAGAAGATAGACTTCTGGACCTCTACATGAACACTCCTGTGGGGTAAATATGAATGTAAACACTTCTTCAAAGCCATCCAGCTGTTACCAGTCAGGCCGAGGGGTGCCCTTGGGGCAGTGACCTGGCCTCATGGGGCTCTTACTGCAGAACTCCCCAAGCTGCGCGCCGGCTACCGTGTGTCCCTGCATGACCAATACCACGGCACCGACCAATACCACCTCAGTGTCGGTGGGTGTGGAAGGACTGGCTCTGTATCTGGACCCAGTTCCTTCTTCAGAAAGTCTGACATGGTGACGGGGCGAGAGATCTGACAGAAGCACATCGGTTGTGAGCTACTGTGGGTGCTGGGCAGTGGCGTGACGACCCTGAAACATGAGGGTTTTCTACAGCTCATGTCTCACACCGGAGTGGCGTCTGCCATGGTCCCTGTGAAGGACGGGAGTGCCTGCTTGGCCTCTAAAGCCTCCTTCTTTGACAAAAGGCAGACAGACCTGGAGGAATGTGTCTCTGACAGTGACTGGTTACAAACTTGTTAGCATTTTTTTCTTCTGGTCTCTAAGGACGTCAAAGCTGCTGGGGCTGTAGGCAGGATGACTCTACCCAACTTAGGGTGCTTCCTTTGGACACTTCATGTGAGGCATAAAGCACCCATGGGCCAGAGGTGAAAACCCAGCTTGTACTTCTCTGACGGGACATGCACTTGGCTGGCAAGGGCCTGGGTGGACCCCCATCCTCACCCACTAGCCCCTTGATCATCAGGCCACCACACCACCTAGGATCTCCCTTAATGAGAAGGAAACTCTTCTTAACAAAGAGGGACCCTGCCAGTGACTCACCAGTGTGGATTTGATGCCGACGCTCTCAGCTGCCTGGAAGGCCAGTGTGAAGTTCCTTCGCTGTAAAACAAACTGCGTGACTAGAGTGGACAAGCAAGGCCAGGAGGAAGGAGACCTGCACTACTCATGCTGCTGGGGAAGATGGACAGCCACCTCCATGTGGTACCAGAATGAACCTACACTGGACCCTTGGAGTCCCCACCAACCCTGACCGCCCCTCTGCAGGCAGCCCCAGCTCCTCTTTTAACCAGCCATGGAGCAATCTCCACACACTCGTTCTTTTCTCACTGTGCAAAAAGGCCACTTTCGACACATCAGTCCTGAGGCGCCTGGACCTGGACCCAAAAGCTCATCAGAAACAGCCGTCAAGGGGCGCCTGGGTGGCTCAGTGGATTAGAGCCTCTGCCTTCGGCTCAGGTCATGATCTCAGGGTCCTGGGATTGAGCCCTGCATCGGGCTCTCTGCTCGGCAGGGAGCCTGCTTCCTCCACTCTCTCTCTCTGCCTCTCTGCCTACTTATGATCTCTGTCTGTCAAATAAATAAATAAATAAAATCTTAAAAAAAAAAAAAAAAAAAAAAAAAGAAAACACACCCGTCAAGTGAGCTTCCTCCCCGGGAGGAATCTTCAAGTGTTATCTGAGGGGATGAGGGGACCAGAGGAGGGCTCAGGCCTGGGACCTCTCTCCATGTCCCTCTGGGCGGGGGCTGTCCCCGACCCGGTCCCTGAGCAAGCTCCCTAAGTGGGATGACTGAACTACACAGGGCTAGCAGGAGACCGGCCCAGCATGGGAAGCACTGCCCAGACCACTCATGCCCTGAGTCGCTCTCAAGAGTAAAGCCCTCGATCCAAAATGTCATCACCCAAGAAGGCTGACTGCTCCCACTGGGAATGTTGTCCTTGGGGAATGCTGAACCCACCAAATGTCCCACACAAGGTAGGTCAGGGACTGGCTGGCTCAGCACAAATAACTCAATCCCAGAATAAGACTAAGCTGGGAGGGGGCTGCTGTGAGGCAGTGTTGTGGCAGGGGCCCTACAGCTGGGAAGCTCTGCCTCTCCTGTGTGGTAAGGATACCAGGAGCTGGGCTGTTTCATCAGCCTACCTTATCTTGGCTGTTCAGCTCTTGATACGGAATGTGGGCCGGAAGGTACGTATGCAGGAGAGCGCAAAAGGCCAGCCCGTCATTCCAGCTGCTGCTGAAGTTCGTAATATCAATATTCTGAAGGAAAAGAAAAATACATATAAGTAACAAATCCTGTGATCTTTTCTGGAGCGTGTCATGGTGCGGGAAGGCAGCCTCAGATGCCACATGGCCTCCAAACATCAGGCAGCGGGAGCTTCTAGAGAAGGCACAGTGTGTTATGGGTCATGTCTGAAGACCGGCAGAGGTCAGGGACTGGCCTTTTCAGCAGGTGCCCATCCCATCCTGCCCACCGCTTACAGGTCACCATCCCCCTGGCTGCACACATCTGGGTTACTGCCCCCTTGTGTGAAGAGCTTTGGGCACAGGGAGCTGGTTGGCAGCTCTGCAGACTTGCTGGGCCCTCGGGAGCAAAAGTGCTACGTAAAGAAGTTAGGATTCATTCTGACCTCACCTATGAGGGCTCTATGCACAGATTTACTATCTAGCAAAACCTCTGTGTCCTGAGGCCATCAACAGCTGCCTTCTTGCCTTAGGAGGCACTGGGAGCCAACTGATGCTGGGGATGTGTGCTTCCCCACAGAGCTGCTCCACGGATCACCTTGGTTTTCTTTGAAGAGGTGCCTCTTTTCACATTCATAGTAAATTATTTGCAACTATAAAAATAACCTATTCAGAATAGCTGACTATATGATAACACCCGTCGGCTGATCTGTAGCCTTTACCCTTATTTGCAAGAATCCTTTTGAAGTTGAAACTCCACAGTTAAATTTTGGAAATTCACACACTTTATGTCAATGCCACAGACCCAAAAAGAGAATACTTCCCAAACACCTCTTGTTTGAGGCCCCACTGTTTCTTTCACGCAGACTTCAACTGCACCAAGGGTGAGCTCCTAGAGGACTGGGAAGCCCTGATTTTATTAGTGAAGGCAAACCCCCCACTCCTGGATACAGGTTGCCACTCCTCCCAGGGACAAGTGATCATAGCGAAAAGAATACTATGTGTATGTGTATAGAGTTTTACAAACTCTGCCATACTTCACCCCAGGTTTACAAACTGTTAGGTCCTCACACCAAGTAGGGGACCTGGGGCTCATGGACGAGGGGCAGGTGGGGAGGATCGGACTAGGCTGGGCAAGTGGCCCTTCCAGGAAGATAGTCTTAATCCAGACTCACAGCTTGTGGTCAGTCCCCTTAGAAAAGCAGCGAGTAGCATGGAAGAGCACAGGGCTGAACTTTTCATCAGCCTCATCACTGAAACAATTTCTCTGGCCCCTGACTCCAGACACCCAGAATGCTGCCCTCTGGGTGTGTGTGTGGGGCGGGGCTTCTACTCAAGCGCAAGCCTTCGAAAAGGCAGCAACTCTGTGGGCCATCATTCCAGAGGTCATTTCCCCTCGGTAACCTGATTATCTGGGGCAGCCAGTCACACCAATCTGGCATCAAAGCATTGCTCATAAACTGTGGTGAGAAAAAGTAGCAGATTAAAGCACAAAAGAATGCAAACCTGCCAAGAGTCATAGGGAAGGTCTCTGCAAGCTTTCAGGGCCATCTGACTTGGCCTCCGTAAGTGAGCCCACCAACCCCTCCCGGGCCACCAGGGCCTGGTAGGTCCTCCCTGCCTCCAGGCAGCAGGCCTCACACTTCTGGCCATGACACAGCCCAAACAAGCATTCCTGTCCTAATCTTGACAGGTCCCCACTCCAGGGAACAAGGACAGCCCCTGCCTCCCATGAGGGCACTGTGCACCCAGCGGTGTCCGATGGTTATGCTGATCGCTGCTGCAGCAAAGGGACCTCTTTCATCTCGTCTGAATCTCAGGAAGCAGCCAGCCAGGGGCGCCAGGGGCGCCAGTGCCACCTGGGAGGAAACAAACCAGGGAAGGGAAGTGACCTGTCCAAGGTGCTGGGTTGGCAGCAGGGAGGACAGGGTGTCATTCTAATTCCATCATCACCTAGAAGCAGGTTCAGGTAAGGAGGCTGAGACTCAAGAAGCCTAGGTTCCAGAGCTGACCTGGGGGGTTATTCAAACTCAGGCCCATCCAAAGCCCGTCCACACTCCTCCTAGAAACCCTACCAGACCTCATGACAAGTGCCTGATCAAAGAGCCCAGGCACCTCATATCATCGCCTGAACGACAGGACAAGTAGCCTCTTAGTCCAAGCCCTGTGGGAGGTCAACGGCAACATGTGGACGCTGAGGACTCCCAACCCTTGCCCCCAGAGGCCACATTCATTTCTGGAGGAAAACAAATCTCCACTTCCTGCCGCCACAGCCCCCTCTCCAGCTCCCTGAAAGGCAGGCGTCTGGCAGAGCCGCCTACGTGCCTGGCCTCCCCACGCCACAGGGCAGAGGCTCCTGCAGCAGAGGAAATGGCTGCGCCCCAGCTCCCCAGCTGTGGGAACCCCAGCCTTCCCCAGCTTCCTCAACACAAACCCAACCTCAAGCCTGGAACCTCCAGGCAGAGCAGCGGCTTCAGTTACAAAACATGCCAAAGAAATTTAAACAATGAGGAAACAATGGCCTCTTGAGTTCCAGGGTAGGGGGAGTTAACTTTGAAGTACCTGACAACCAAACTTCCAAATCAAAACAAAGTCCAAGCCCAGGCAGGCTGGCAGGTGTCTCCGCCTGGGCCAGCTGGCAGGAGCCAGGCTGGGCACTATACCCTGCAGAGGACAGTGAGGCCACTACACACCAAATCCAAGTGAGACCTCTGAGTGCTCTGACTCCTGTCCCTCTACCTCCTCACCCCTCCAGAGAGATCTGGGGGGAAAATGAGGCCAGGGCTTCAAGGGAAGCAAAGGAAAACCTAAAAGCTGAGATAGCAGGCCCCAGGCAAGGCTACCACCACCCCAAATCACCACAGCAGCTCTGGGCTGGCGCCTTCTGCTCCCCCATCTCACCACTTTGATCAGGGCTAAAAAATCAAATTACTGGGAAATAAGGCAGATCGAACAGAGAGAAGTCTATATAAACAACAAAGCCAGTTCTCTGAGGCTGAAAAGGGTGCAAGAAAATTCAGATGAAAGACGAAAAGCTCCCCCGGCTTCCTCTCTGGAGCTCTTGATTCCACGGCTATCAATTTAGGTTTAAGAAGCCACCTCATCACGAAGTTCAATTATCTGTAATGGTCCCATGACATTCACAGATACGCTTTTTTGACATGTTTACTTACTTCACAAAGGTTATCTAGAAATGGACTATTTTTAAAAAGTGGCATTTTTCTGTGCCTAAGGAAAAACCCTTGACTGTAAAGCGTGAGTGCACCTCTATCTGGGCAGACGGGCCCAGTGACATTTTGTAGATCAGTGCAGGGGCTGCAGAGGGTCAAGGGCCTTCCACCCACACAGGTCCTGACCCCTACATGCACGGCTGCTTCAGCAGGCCAGCCGATACCTTTAAAATAAACTATTCTTAAAGCCCCAAAACCGATGTTTTGAGGGGAATATGCACACTAACGGAAGGACTTTCTACTGCTCACTATTCACAGTCAATGGTGCCAAGATCTCTAAGGGAACAATTTTCTTTTTAAAATAGGGACAATGGGGCGCCTGGGTGGCTCAGTGGGTTAAAGCCACTGCCTTCAGCTCGGGTCATGATCCCAAGGTCCTGGGATCGAGCCCCACATCGGGCTCTCTGCTCAGCAGGGGGCCTGCTTCCTCCTCTCTCTCTGCCTGCCTCTCTGCCTACTTGTGATCTCTGTCTGTCAAATAAATAAATAAATAAAATCTTAAAAAAAAAATAAAATAAAATAGGGACAATGGACATACTAGTAATTATAATACAAGTTTCTAATTAATAAATTCAGATTTTGCATTTGGTTCTCAGGTCAACTCAGGACTTTTCTACTCTTCCAGATAAGTCTATGTTTGGATTAGGTGGACAAAAATGAGAGGATTATGATATGTGTCAGAACAAAAGTTCAAGAAAACACTCAGCACAGACTCAAACGAGGCACTCTGTCGCATTTTCTCCTACAGGCTCATGTCCTCCCATCCAATAAATGTCCACTAAGATATCTGACCAGGCAGATGGACGCAGCCTGCTTTAGAAGCTAATCTGCTGTTCTTTTCACTATCATAAAAACTCAGACCAAGGGACGCCTGGGTGGCTCAGTTGGTTAAGCAGCTGCCTTCGGCTCAGGTCATGATCCCAGCGTCCTGGGATCGAGTCCCACATCGGGCTCCTTGCTCTGCAGGGAGCCTGCTTCTCCCTCTGCCTCTGCCTGCCATTCTGTCTGCCTGTGCTCTCTCTCTCTCTCTCTCTCTCATAAATAAATAAAATCTTTAAAAAAAAAAAAAAAAAAAAACTCAGACCAAGACTCATAAAATCGCCTAACACCTCACACCCCTCCACAGGACCAGCTGGGCGTTTCCCACTCGCTCCTTCTGGAGCTGGGCCAGAAGCCCTCACCTGCTCCAATGACTATGATAGGAGGTTGTCCCCTGCCTGTGGGCTTCAGGTGGTCCCACTTTGGTGTGCCCTTGTATGCACTGAGAGTTGAGGGGTGGGGTAAGACAGCGAAAGTTACACAAATCTCCACAGAGAAAGATAAAAAATGTTATAAAACATCTTAAAAATGTTTTAATTTGTCTGAAGTTTAATTAAGGGCCATAAAATACACTCCCAAATACCACATGTTCTTTAAATAGTTATTAAGGTTCTGATCTATTTAAGGAAATGCCACTTTTATGGGCATAGGGCAAGAAGCCAAACACCATGATTCATCTCTCTGCTACACCGATTTCCTTAGACCTGTCTCAACTGTTGACAGTGGTGTCACAGGCCCAAACACAGGCAGAAAGGCAGGGTCCTTCCCATGACTGAAGATACTGGGAATGCCACCTGCTGGGTGTCACTGCCCAGCGTTCAGGAGGTACAAATGGATTACAAATAAAACCCCTACCCAACTGCTTCAGCCCCAGGCCAGGGGGCAAGGTCTGGAGGGAAATCTGGGAGAAGCAGATAGGGGTATCCTTTTCTGTGTGGTATGGCAGGGGGATGTGATGTCTAAAAGAGAGGTAAAAAACATCAACAGACAGTATTTACCACTGCTAGTAGTATTAAACACAGAAGG